CAGCACGCGCGCAAGGACGTTCGAATGCTTTCGACATGCGCGCGCGATAGGTAGAACATCGCAAGAGCGCGAGCGCAGATTTTGTGATAATCCCTGTTGCGAGACCGTGGCTTTAAATGTTTTTGGGTTGCTCGATTTTTAAAATCCTGACGAAACCTGACGTGTTTGAAAGATTTCGGCATGCGCGCGCGACGTCGCGCGCGATGCTTTAAAAACTGGTGACGATCGACGAGTGTTTTTTCCTGTGGACGAGCGGGGGGACTGCTAAGGGACTGCCGGGGGTGGTACGAATTCATAACTCCGATGGAGGATGGGGCAAAATCGCATGTAAATTGCAATACAAAAAGGCGGACCGTTAAGTCCGCAGAGGGAGGTCGATCGTAGGATTTATCTATAAAGGAGAATCGATGCGGTGCAGCCTTTATGGTGCATTCTATGCGGTGCAGTTTCTGTTGTGCAATCTAAGGCGGAGACGGGGCGGCGATGTCGGCCACATAGCCGCCAGACCGAACACACAGGCCCAGACGGCGGGCGGTGACGGGGCGGCGACGGCCGGCACGTAGCCGCCAGACCGACACGCAAGCCCAGGCGACGGGCGGCGACGAGGGAGGCTTGATGGGTGCGACAAGGATGAGAGAGGAGTCGGATCCGGAAAGGTGGCCCGCGCTGGGGCGAGAGAGCGATTCTGAGCGACGGGAGCAAGGCGCCGATCTGGAGCTAATCGCCGATCTGAAAATGAGGTCTACGCTACAGCGGGAACACCATTTTGAAACACTGGCAACGGTCGGAAATTAAAATAGAAACACAAAAAAACACAATATTTGAAATCCGGTGCGAAAAAAACGGCGCGCGGAGAGGGCCGGAGATCTTCCGTACAGAGTCAGGGGAGACAAGAGAGTAGTATTCATAATGTGTAATTGTAAAGTGCGGAGGCAGGGATGAGGCGGGAGGAGGGAGGAGGGAAGTGGGGAGCAGGGTGGAGAAAAGAGGGAGGAAGGAGGCGGAGGAGGAGGAGAAGGAGGAGGAAAACGAGGAGGAGGAGGACGAGAAGGGGGAAGATGAGGAGGAGGAGAAGGAGGAGGCGGAGAGAGGAGCAGGGAGGATGGAGTTGCAGTTGGAGGAGGAGGAGGACGAGGAGGAGGAGGAGGAGGAGGGTGGAGGAGGAGGCGCAAGAGGAGGGGGAAGAGGAGGAGGAGGAGGCGGAGGAGGAGGAGAAGGATGAGGAGGAGGAGGAGGAGGAGGAGGAGGAGGGAGGAGAGAGGAGGGAGAAGGAGGAAGGCGACGAGAGGACGAGAGGGAGCAGCAGCATGCTCATCGGTGAATCGCTTTGTCTGCCCCTCCCTCCTCCCCCGCTCCAGAGAGAGAGAGAGAGCGAGGGAGAGGTCAAAACTGGGCACGACCGGGCGCTGCGCTACAACGACAGGCACGCGAACGAGAACCACCACGCCGCCGCGGGCTTGGCGGGGCTTTGCCCACCCGATGGGCTGCTGGCTGTCCCTGTCGTCGCCCTCGTCCTTCCTTCTCATGCTGCTTCTCCTTCTCGTTGTCCTCGTCGTCGTCCTCCTCCTCCTCGTTGTCCTCGTCCTTCTTCTCCTGCTCCTTCTCGTCGTCGTCCTCCTCCTCCTCCTCCTCCTCCCCTTTTCATCCTAGTACCCCTCCTCCCCCCCGTCATCCTCCTCCTTCTCTTCCTCAATCCTCTTCTTGGCCTTCCTGGTCCTCATCAGCCCTTTCTCGTTACTCTCCCTCCTTCTACTCCGCCTCCTTGTTGTCGCCCTCCTCTTCCCATTCCGCCTCCTCCACTTCCTCCTCCCCGGCCATCCCTCTTCCGTCTCAGGAGTCCGTCTTTGTCGCTCCGGTAGGGAAGGCCAGATGCTTCGCATGAGACACACCCACAGGGTAGGATCCTGATCGCGAAGCTCAAGGCGTCTCTGAGTTGCAGTGCTGGCACGTATGGATGGCAGGTTGTTTCCAACATGTCGTTCGCGCCTTAACACCAAGCCCATTATTTTCAAATTGTTCCAAAACTTGCGCGGATGGCGCACGGATAGTTGCTTGAACATGTGTTTCTCGCTTTAGCGTCGCGTGCAGTCGTCTTCATAAGTCGAAACAACGACACGGATGGACGACGGCTCATTTTCAAAATGAAACTCCCGCATGAGGTTTCATCTGGCTGTACCACCCGAGTCGCAGACATGTTTAATGTCCGTGCGTATGCAGAGCGGCTGCGTGTCGAAATAGGGCTCTCGCTCGAGACTTCTTTCGGTTTTGTGGCCCACGGCCTGGACCTGGGCAACAGATACGCGGATGAAGGGCGGTTGCCTGTCAAATACAGGGTTCTGTATAGTTTCATAGTTACAAGGACTCTGCAGGGCTGCTCCTGCAAGTGTCAAGCTTCAGGAGCATAAGTGGTGAGGAAGTGTTCGGCGGAATGCCCGCCCGACCGACACGTCTGGGGGTGCGACGGAGAGAAGTTACTAATCAGGAAAAGTGATGGGGGAGGAGGAGGAGGAGGAGGAGGAGGAGGAGGAGGAGGAGGAGGAGGAGGAGGACGACGACGACGACGACGACGACGACGACGACGACGGCCTCGACGACGGCGACGGCCGCGCGCCGAGGCCGCGTCGTTCGCCCTGCTCCAGCGTCCCGGGCTGGACTTCCTGGCGGGGCTGCCCCGGGAGGACGCCCCGTCCGCGGGGAGCCCGGCGGAGGGAGGGAGGAGGAGGAGGGGGAGGAGGAGGAGGAGGAGGAGGAGGAGGAGGAGGAGGAGGAGGAGAGGACCAGCGCCAACCCAAGACGCATCAACCACAGTAAGCCCTCCCTCTAAATTCTCTTTCTTCACAGAAAGAAAAAGGGATGGAGGAGAAGGGAAGGAGGGAGGGTGCAGGATTGGGGAGGGGGATGCAGGAGGAGCAGCAGGAGCAGGAAGGGGAGGAGGAGAAGGAGGAGGAGAAGCAGCAGCAGCAGGATGGAGGAGTGGAAGGAGGAGGAGGTGCAGGGCGGAGCAGGAGAAGGATGGGGGATGACAAGAGAGAGAACCGGGGAACGGGATGAGGGAAAAAATGGAAGGAGCAGGAGGGGGCGAAGGAGTAGCTGAAGGAATAGGGGGGAAACGAGGAGGGAGAAGGACCCCCACCCTGCCTAGGATCGTTCGTGGTTTTGTTTCCGAGGGCTTACCGCCAGCCAAACAGCGAGGCATCGCTGATTCCAGGCCGGTGTACGTCACTTTTTGATGAAGTCACCCTTTCTCGGCTCCCCAGTCCTTGGACGGATTGTTTTTTTCAATCCGCTGGCCCTAGAAGTCTCGACCCTGTCCCCATGCTTAGCTTTCGTCCCAGATCAGGTTTCGATTTTCTCATGGCCCAGAAACTTCTCTTGAAGGTCGTTTTTAAGAACGGCGCTAGGTTTTGAATGATCAGTCCGAAATGCGGTCAGGTCTTTGGCTTAGCGTGTCGCAGCACCGGATCTGGCCCACCACGCCTCGGTGCGACATGCTATCCACTTCGCGGTCCAGGCGTCAACATGCCGAGTTTTTCCCAGCCTCCCACCCCGCGAAGCGTGAGCGACATGCCACCCGCTTGCAAGGTATAGCGCGTCGCCGATGCCGACTTGCTAAAGTTGAAGCTCACAACCGCCAAACTGTTACGACATTGTTGTCGAACTTGCTCGACTGAACATGTGCCAACGGGCTGCCATCATCATGTGTTGGAGCATGCCGTATCTATGTTGTGTCTAGCAGTTCCCTGAAGACGCTAAGGCAGTAAGGCCCAGCGACTGCGTACCAAGAGCTGCACATACAGCAAACAAGCTGGTGCAGATACATGTCCTCCTTAGGTGTACCTACGTTCGGGCTCCGAGCGCATCTGCACAATAAACCGAGGACTGCAGGAAATAAGCGTTTTTTCTTTGGGGGCCATGAGGGCAGCGGCGGCCTGAGTTCGAGGGCGGAAGTACAAGCCAGCTGCGGGAATGCCTTTGCGTTGGCCCGGGCCCATACCCTCGAGATTTCCTCAGGGGGGCAAGACATCCAAATACGAAAGCGACGGTGACGTCGGCGGCGGTGGCTACGACGACAGCGACGACGACGGTGGCGGCGGCGGCGACACAGAAGGGAGAGGGGGAGGAGAATGAGGATGAAGAGGAACATAAGAAAGAATTGAGGAGCTCCTCCGTAGACGCTGTCTGGGTCCCAGAATTAGCCAAAGTGACCCGAGCCCAGCCCTCTCGGGATGTTGCCAAAGAGAAAGGGAGAGAACGTCGCCATCACCTTCGGCGTCATCATCGTCATCGTCGCAATTGTAATCGTCATCGTCATCATTGCAATCACGCTCGATCCATCTGCTCGGCATCTGTTTGGTAATTGTGACAGTGTTTTTCTGCATCGGCATGCTCTGGCATGGTGGAGTATCCTTCCCATCAGTTGGGAAGCTGGCAGCCCGCACTTTTCACCAGCTGGGTTTGATGATGGGTAGGGGGCAAAACAAAAATGCAGTCACGCTGGCGTCTCCTGCTCCCCTCCCGTGCCTGCTACCTGCCGGGCTCGCCGCCTCGACTTGTTCGCTGTGCGGCACGATGGCCTTCCTGATCCAGTCAAGGGCAGAGGCACGAACTCGACCGAGTGCCGGGCTTGCGCGAGGGCGCGCCGGCTCGGCGCGGCAGCATGCCGCGCGCGCGCGGCCAGCCCGTGATCTGTCGTCGTCGCCCCCCCCACCTCCTCGGACATCCTCGGCAGCCACCGTCGTGGCCCAGGCTGCCCAGACGCGCAGGTCCCCCGCCCGGGTCCCGGGCGTGCTTCATTCGGGGGAGCGTAAGACCCGGGTGTGCCAGGACTCGGGTTCGTCATCGTTTTTTGACGACCGCGCCTCGGATTTTGACGAGGAGGAGTTTCGTGGGATGTCTGCAGCGGGAGGCCTCGTCAAAATGCAGGCGCGGCCTCGTCATTTTTTTGACGACCTCGTCGGGGACTTCCGAGTCCCCCGTACCCGGGTCTTACGTCTCCCCGATTCATCCTCGGTCCGCAGACGAGGCCCCCGCAGGCGGCGATGGCGAGGCGGGTGCCCGCCGCGGGCTCGCTGCTGCTCGGCCTCCTGGCCTGCGGGGCCCGCGCGGAGCTCGGGGGCAGAGCTGCGGGGAGGGTGCGGGGGGGGGGGCGGGCTCCAAGGGGGGGAGGAGGGCGGCCGAGGTTTCGAGGTTTCGAGGTTTTCGAGGTTTTTTCGAGGTTCTCGAGGGGGCTTCTCGATCGATGGCTTTCGGCGGTCTTCAGCCTCGGGGGTGCTTTCCAGCAGCTGCGCCTCGCCGGGAGCGTTTCGGGTGTGCCAAGATCGTCGCTGGGCGGCCGCTGGAGAGCCGAGGTAAGACCCGAAAGCCAGGGGTGGCGCATCGACCCCCGATCGCCCATTGATCGCCAGTAGATGCCCGATAGCCCCCGCCCCGCCCAGTACCATGCGGACGCGGACTTGCTCTCGGGGGCCTATCGCCCGTCTATCGGCGATGCATCGCCGATTCTCGATGCTGCCCGCCCTCCTCAGCCTGTGCTCCGACCCTCGCGTTGCCCCTCAGGAGAGGGCCTGGGGCACTGCTCTGCAGGCCGAGCTCGCGATGCCGGCCTCGGGCTCCCTGCATTGGCTCGGCGGCGGCCGGGACCAGTCCGCGGGGCCCGGGGAGGCCGCGGTTGGCTATCACCACATGTCGCCGCGCCGTTTGTTCCGAATCGCGGCCTTCCGTCTTGGGGAGGGCGCCGCGGGTACCAGGGCAAGCGCCGCCTTGGGCGCGATGGGTTCGCCGTGGGTTTGCCGCGGTGCTGGCCTCGTCTTCTTGGGCGCGGGGCGCAGGGCTTGGCGGGGTTTGCCGTGGTGTCGGCGTCGTCCACTTGGGCGCGTCGAGGACAAACGGCGCGGCGACATATCCATGCCCCCATGCCTCCGAAGATCTGATTGTTTCAGTCCTGGCGTTCTTCCTTTCTCATATCGGCCTTTGGGGCTCTGGACCATCAGAAACGGATCCGGGGCGAAGGACGACCCCCGCTCTGGAGCCCGTTTCTGTTTTGCTTGGGGCATGACGGGCGTCATGGCCCCCGCTCCCCCCCCCCTATGACGTAACACTCCCCCCCCCCCCAGTGCGCTCCTGGCACTGCCGCCGTGCGCATTGGGATCCGCGTAGGTGTCCGCGTAGGAATCCGCATAGGAGTCTGGTCCGCAGTCGTCGTCGTCGTCGTCGTCGTCGTCGTCGTCGTCGTCGTCGTCGTCGTCGTCGTCGTCGTCGTCGTCGTCGTCGTCGTCGTCGTTGCTCGTCGCTCGTCGCTCGTCGCTCGTCGCTCATCGTCGTCGTGCGCGCGGACGCGGCTGGAGCCTGTTCTTATACGGGGCCGATGACGGCAGTCATCTGGGGGGGGGAGGGGGTCGATGACGTCACGTTTCGCGCAGGCGGCGTCTGGGAATTCCTAGGAATGGCGGAGGGCGGGTAGCACGAGCATGTAGGTGGCGATCTGCACCACAACGCCTGTGTACACCACAGTGCCTGCGTGCTGCGGGCACAACAGCTTTTGTGTACACCACAGCGCCGGCGTACACCACATCAGCCGTGTGCAACACAGCACCAATGTACACCACAATGCCTGCGTGCATTGCAGTGCCTGTGTGCACCACGGCGCCTATGTGCACCACAGCAACCGTGTGCAACACAGAACCGTTGTTGTATATAGAATGTTCGAAGGAATCCTTATGACAAAATGGAGCGCTTGTGGATTCCACAGAAAACAGTAGAAAGGAATCCTTCTGGACAACGGAGTTCCGCTGGAATCTACGAATCCTCCCGAGTCCGCCCGCATCACCCAAATTCCTCCCATGTGCGTCCAGGTGGCTCCAGCTAAATTGGCCGTCCGAGAACTAAGTGGACCGGTTCAATCGACCATTCTGCGGTGCGCGCTGAGATGCGCACGTGCGCTGTAGCGCCAACCCGCACGACAGGTGGTAAGGAAGAGGAGGACGAGGAGGAGGAGGAGGTGGTGGAGGTGGAGGGGGAGGGAGGAGGGAAGAACGCCGCATTCGATTATCTGCACTTTCCTGGCGTGGCGTCTAGTTGTCCACAGCAGATCTTCACGTGCATGCTCCTCCTACCTGTCCTATGCACGCAGGCGTTTTGGCGTACACCAGCGCTGCGTTGCACGCGGGTGCTGTGGTGTGAATAGGCGCTGTGACGTGCACAGGCTGTGCGGTGCACGCAAGCATTGTGGTGTACACAGGCGCTGTAGTGTACGCAAGCACTGCGGTGTACACAGGCGCTGCGTTGCACACGGTTGTTGTGGTGTACGCAGGTGCTGTGGTATACAGTATACACACGCGCTGTGGTGCACGCGAGCGTTGTGGTGTACCCAGGCGCAGTGGGGCGTATCGCCACCTACATGCTGCTCGCGTCGTCGTCTTCGTCGTCGTCGTCGTCGTCGTCGTCGTCGTCGTCGTCGTCGTCGTCATCGTCGTCGTCGCTCGTCGCTCGTCGCTCGTCGCGTCGTGCGCACGGGCGCGGCTGTGGTGCCGGAGCCACACGGCGGGGGTGGGCGTTACGTCATACCCCCCCGTCGCCCCCCCCTATGACGCCGGCCATCGCCGAACATAAAGAAACGCGCTCCTGGTTTTGTACCCGCCGTATTTTTTCTTTTCCCGACCTAAGCATGAGTCGGAAATTCACCTCAAACGATGCGCAGAGGTCGGGCGGAAATCTCCGCCTCAGAAAAGTACGGGGAATAGTTCTGCGATGGTATGGCGGAAGCAGTGACGGCAGAGTAGGGCGGGAATCGGAGTTTGAACAGCAGGCTGGACAATGTACGGCGGATCTGGAGTCAGGGCTGTGGGGCCACGAATTGGACACATCACATGAGCGACGCAACAAAAAAAAACAGGTCGTCTGCGCCGACATTGGCGCCTAAGCTGCCCGCGCTAGGTCGCGCGTGAGCGCCCTCGTCTCTAGTGTAGCGTGCTGCGCTGGCGGCCCGCGTAAGCCGCCGCGTAAGGTTGCCGTGGCATCTTGCGTAAGACCCGTTTTCTCCGTTGCTCACATCGGTGGATGATGTCAGGGCCCACGCCCTCGCGGGCTGGACTCTGGGGCGCGATCCCGTGGCTGCGCGACCCCGCGGGCGCGCCCCCCGCGGGCACGCCCCACTCGGGGGCGCCCGCGCACGAATCGCTCCGAGCGTGCCCACGGCGTCGCGGCCGAGGGGTCCAGGGCCGCGGGGCCGCGGGCTTGGGCATACCGCTCCTCCTCCTCCTCCTCCTCCTCCTCCTCCTCCTCCTCCTTCCTGCTCCTCCTCCTCCTCCTCCTCCTCCTCCTCCTCCTCCTCCTCCTCCTCCTCCTCCTCCGCTCCTCCTCCTCCTCCTCCTCCTCCTCCTCCTCCTCCTACCCCTCCTCCTCCTCCTCCTCCTCCCTCCTCCTCCTCCTCCTCCTCCTCCTCCTCCTCCTCCTCCTCCTCCTCCTCCTCCTCTTCCTCCTCCTCCTCATCATCCTCATCATCATCATCCTCCCCCTCCTGCCGCCCGCGGGGAGGCGGAGAGCCCTCTCGGCCCGGTCCTGCAGCCGCAGGGGCCGCACCGCCAGTCCTCCGCGGCCGGCGGCGGGCCTCGGCCGACGGGGCCGGAGAAGGCGGAGAGCTTCAGGGCCTCGGGCGACGGCGGAGGCCCCCTTCGCAGCGGAGGCCCCCCCGACAGGCTCTCGGGAGAGGAGTCTCGGAGTGACCTCTGGTGCGGGCCCAATGGGGTCCCTTGATCGCCGAACGCGAGGCAGCAGTGGCGTTTTGCGCGCTTGCGTTTGGCACCCCCGCGGCCCCCCAAAAGCCGCGCACCAAAGGTCACTCTTACCCAGGGTCTCTCTTGCGTATAGCCGAAGGAGGAGCGGCACGAGCATGACTTTCGAAGCCCCGCGCGGATCTCTTGGATCAGCGCTGGACGCCCCTGCGCGACGCTGGCGCGCTCTGCGCGCCAGTGGGGGGGTCAGGACGGAAAAAGATTTACGTATACAAACACGAAGGAGCGCTGTTGTCCTTTTGAAAAGTTTGGACAAGATATCCAAAATGGAGGGGATGACAGGAATCCATGACGTATTGAATAGTGTGGGGGGAATCCTAGGATTTGCATCGGTGTGTGTGTGTGTGCGTGTGTGCATGTGCGTGCGTGCGTGCGTGCGTGTGTGCGTGTGTGTGCGTGTGTGTGTGCGTGTGCGTGTGTGTGCGTGTGTGTGCGTGCGTGTGCGTGTGCGTGTGCGTGTGCGTGTGCGTGTGCGTGTGCGTGTGCGTGTGCGTGTGCGTGTGCGTGTGCGTGTGCGTGTGCGTGTGCGTGTGCGTGTGCGTGTGCGTGTGCGTGTGCGTGTGCGTGTGCGTGTGCGTGTGCGTGTGCGTGTGCGTGTGCGTGTGCGTGTGCGTGTGCGTGCGTGTGTGTGTGTGTGTGTGTGTGCGTGCGTGCGTGCGTGCGTGCGTGCGTGCGTGCGTGCGTGCGTGCGTGCGTGCGTGCGTGCGTGTGTGCGTGTGTGTCTCCCTGGGTTCCTTTAGAGGGGGGTCCAGCGCAGATCCAAGACATCTGCGCGGAGCTTGTCGCGAGTCTCGGTGGGGCCCCCCTGGCAGGCTCGCCGTGCCCGGCGCGAAGCTTGTGCGCGAGTCCTCCCAGCTGGGGGCGCTCGGCTCGGTCCGGCCGGTCGCTCGCAGGGCTCATTCCACGGAGGAGGAGCAGGCGCCCGCGGCGCTCGGAAAGGGATGGCCCCTGGGGGGGAGGGCCTCCTCACGATCGTCGAGTAAGAAAAGAATGCATAAACGAAAATGTTCTGAGGATCGCGCAGACCTCCGAAAGTTTCTGTTTATGCTGTTTTTGCTGCTCCAGATCGGCGGCGAAGCCAGAACCCGACCCTCGTCGATCAGCGATTCAGGCAACTCGATCGGCGGCGGGGGCGGGGCTCGGAGTTCGTCGAGCGCGTGGCGAAATCTGGACCCCTTCCCTTCCCCCCATCGGCGCAGGAAGCGATGGTT